TAGCTTTACTTTGATCTTGTTTTAAATTTCCTTTTAGCATTTTTATAGTTTGTAAAAGAAACACTGCATTTACCACGTGGTTTACCCTCAGATATCCAAATACGTCTAAGACGTCTCTGTTCACTATGCGCAAACTTAACTTCCGTAGTCCAATATGGTTTTGAGTGTTTGTTAAATTTAAATTTTGGAAGTGTTTTATCAGCTGCACAAAGTAATAGATTTTAACAAGATAAAGGTACATATTGTCTATCAAATTTATAGGGTCACATCTCACGGCGTTTTCAAGGTAGTCATTGACATCAATATATTGTTATATTTTCGAATTCCCGCTTTTCGTTTTCCGAACATTTGGACCAGTTTGTATTCGGATAAGAACTTTCTTGAAAGCTATACTTAGAAAAATTTGATGTTTAATATAGCGTGTATAGGATTATGATCCTGAAACATGAAAAAGATCTTTGTCTATTACTTACCCCCCCTTGCTACAATTGTCATTAAACTGATTGAACAAACCGAATCGTGTCTTTAAGGTAGGTCTAAACGTATGTTTTAAAAACCTGCAGTTTTTCAAAAAAAACATTTTTTTCTTTTTAAAGAAACTGCAACTAAGATGAGTTTTTCTGCAGGGGTGTTATAAAATCTTGGGGGCAAGATAAAATATGTATAAATGTCCTTTCTTAAAGGCTTTCCTAACGCACTCATAAACGCGCAGCAATCGTACTGTGCGACTAATAAGATCAGAAGATTTTATAGCCAAGACTGTTAATAAATAATGTAACCTTCGTTAAAAAATTAAATTCTATGGTGGCTGATTGGTGCATGTTGCATTTGCGCTCTGCAGGACGCCGGGCGACAACACAAAAATACGACAAAGCCAACACTTTGTCGTGTTTTCGCCCCGAGGAGCATAAATATGGCAAATTGCTCACTTTGTCATATGTTTGCGTTTTAGCCTGAGTGAGAAGCAACCAGTGCAGACCATGATCAGCTATGCGCCCGCTGATTCTGGTCTGCACTTGCAGAACCTGTTCCCCACAATATAGGCTAAGGTATATGCAATATAATAATATATTTGATTTTATCTTTATTGGTTTGTGTGTGTGCGCGTGCGTGTGCGCGTGCGTGTGCGTTTACGTGTGCGCGTGCGCGCGCGCGCGTGTGTTTGTTAGTTTGTTTGTTTGTGTTAGTGAAAAGAATAGATACAAAAATATTAAATAAATATTTGTATGATAATGACATAAATCTGGCTGTCCGAAATTTAGATAACGCATTTTAACATTATTTTGATAATCTATTAAATCAAAGCTTTATGTTGCAATAAAATTGAAATTTTTTCCTGATTATAGCAGTAAAAGTTTCTTTGGGGCAATTTTAGGAACATTTAAAAATTTTAAAACCCAAGAAAAATCTTTAAAGATAATTTCAAAAGGTTGTTTTTTAATTTTGTATGTGAGACATCTTTCTGGTAAATAGTTATATTCGTCCTACATGCACTTTATATTTTAACATTATTCGGCATTGTTGTGATAAAATCATTAAGAAAAAAAACATCACATGAACGTATTGTAATGTTACATCATCAATAATATAAACTCCTTTGTTTTGTCTTGTAAATATGTAGGCCACTATATATTTTAGAACTAAAATATTATATAGCTTTAGAATTTTAATATTAGCATTTTAATATGCATTACGTATAAAGGTAAATATGCATTATTTCTAAAATAAAATTCAGTAGCGTTACTAACGATTTTACCTTAACTTCAAAAACAATTTTAAATAAAAATTGAATTTGAAAAAAGGAAAGCAAAGAGTATATGGACACCTTATTCAATTGAAATAGTTATGACGATAATGAAATAACTTACGTGCACATATCTGATAGTGGTATTTCAGACCTGTTTAAATAGATGTGATATTTTAAATTCTGAATGTCAGTGTTGTACTGTCCTATACATGTCTGTAGTGTGTCTATCATTTCACAATGTGCCTCTGCAGCATAAAATACTGAAAAACATTAAAACATATTCTTCTTTATACATTAATATCTTGTATGTGAAATTAAGCATTAAAATTCAAAAGTGTTTGGTATTTATCTGGTTACATTGTGTTTTATTGTTAATTCATTTACTAAAAAAACTTTAATACAGAATATACCTGAGCTCTACTTAGGTCAAAAAAGTATAAAAACAAAAAATATGAATTTCTTGCATAGTGTACAAGTGGTTCAAGTGTTGATAAAAACATTTTGTTTCATGAAGAAATAAACAAAGAGTTAATTTTGCATGAATTTAGTCCGGTTTGAGAGAAAAGCGTTTCAATGTTTTTCTTTTTTTGGGTCTTTTTGCACAATAAAAATGATAATTTTGGGACAACACAGAAAATATATATCTAAAATCTTTCACACGAACTTTTATTTCATCAGATAGTCTAAATAACCTAAAATTGCCTTAAGTATGTAAAACAAAAGTTAAAAACATTTTCAGTTCCTTCATTTAAAAAGAACCTCAGTGGAATCCCTCTAGAGATGAATATTTCCATTTTTATTATTTTTCGGGGTAGGGAGTTGGGGTTAGATTTGTTGGGGACGGGATATTCGTACAACCAGACAGCAAACATTTTACCTGCCATAATAATACAATTTTAGCATTATAGTATTTCACTGCATATGTGGCTAGGTCCAGGGATAACTGGTTCAGTTCCCCATGGTAGTATTCTGACTAAAATACTATTAGTCTAAACAACTTACAAAAAAGAAAAGCAAAAACAACAACAAAATACACAAAAATCGAAGAGAAAAGAAATTATATATTGGAATGAGTCGTCCGTATTTTCCAATTATTACAATAAATAAACATATGTCATTCACACAGGTATTTTAGGTTGTTATATTTTGCTCATATCCGACAAGTCTATTAAGTCACAGACATAATATCTGTTTGTTATTAATGATGTATTTTATCGTCTGCGTTTGTCTTTAATTTATTTATTTAATTATATTTACAATGCTATGGACTGAGTCTGAATCAATATTCTTATAATTGGCTTTAAAATTATCTTTGTCTTAGCGTAGCAGAATAATTTTGTATTCGACGAGTTTAGTTTTTGTCTGCTTGTTTGTTCATTCGATTATTCATTTGATTTATCCGTTTTGAGCTGTTTTGTTTATTTTAATTTTGCGGATTTCTTCATCCTTCGTTTTTTCGTTTGTATCTTCCTTCCTTTATTTATTTATTTAGTATTTATTTATTCGTTTGTTTATTCGTTTGTTTATTCTCTTTGTTCTTCGTTTTTATAAGTCCGTCTGTTCGTTCGTTCGTTCGTTCGTTCGTTCATTCATTCATTCATTCATTCATTCATTCATTCATTCATTCATTCATTCATTCATTCATTCATTCATTCATTCATTCATTCATTCACTCACTCACTCACTCACTCACTCACTCACTCATTCATTCATTCATTCATTCATTCATTTGTTTCATTCATTCAATCATTTGTTCATTCATTCATTCATTCATTCATTCATTCATTCATTCATTCATTCATTTCATTTCATTTCATTTCATTTCATTTCGTTCGTTCGTTTGTTTGTTCATTTGTCCATTCACTTATTTCAGAATTACCTATTTACTAATTTATGATTAATTATGCTTTACAGATTTTTTAAACATCGCCTAACTGTAAACAGGCGACATTAAAGCTGTATGCCTCTAGATGAGCGAACACATTTCAAATAAATTAAACTTGTGAAAAATGTCTTAAGATTTTAACAAAAGTAAACAGATTTAAAATTTAAGTAATAATTTATATGTTATATGCGATTAATGACTGATTTTTGCAGTATTGACCACCTTATTGCTACTTCTATACTGACGCAGTAAGGGCTATTTTTTACATTTTTAACCTCATTTGTAATTTACGTGGATTGTAAATACTGTTTTCAATTTGGAAATTACTTTCTTTCCTTACTTCACAATAATCTTCTATCAAATACATTTTTAATTTAATTTTCTATGAATAAAAACATGAATCTGGAGACATGCTGCTTTAAGATGAGAAGTAAACTTACGGTTTCGATGGTTACATAAAGTTTCAAAGTTTCAAAGTTTATTTCAATCAAAACCATTAGGCTTAAAAGCCCATGAGGCATACATATACAAAACTTTATGACGAACAGTTTATACATTTAACAATAATTTCATTTTAACAATATATCTTGCAAACAAAGTTTACTTTGGAGAAGGTTTTTTCAACCTTATTCACCCTTACCAATTGTGACATATCTCGAACTAAACTAAATTTCATGTTACCTCTTTCCAGTTTTAAAGTCAACCTTTTAACGAAACGAAACATAAAGGCGACTGACTGGAGTGAACATAATACTAAGATAAACTACATGACCAATGTACTTTTCTGTGTTATAAGACCATTGTGCTACATATGAAAGACAACTTAACACAATACACATTAATATCCATTATATAGATACAGCACCAAAAGTGATAATGCATTCGATAAATTAAAACTTTACATGATTAACAATCTAGATAAATATTTGTATAACATATACCTTATTTCAATTACCATATAATATTTCGTTACGTTTTTTAAAAGCAGTATGTATGAAAGTTCCAAGCATTCTTACTATCATCTGGTTTTCGTTATTCATCAATTCTATAAATTTGTACATATTTGGCCGTCGCCAATATTTTGATAATATATATTTATGTCTAAGTTCATCGTACAACTTGCATTCAATAATAAAATGATACTCGTCTTCTAAGACGTTACAAAAGTTACATAATCTTTCATTTACTGGTATAGTCGCCGGTCTTGACCAACGACCTGCTTCTATTTGCAGTCTATGTGACGAAACTCTTAATCTAACAAAAGATTGACAAAATTTACTATTTGTAAAGTGTTCTAAGTAAGGTTGAAATCTAAAATTTGAAATAGTTCGATAAAACAATGCTCTACTAGAACTTTCTAATCTATCATGCCAATTCTGCTTGAACTGATCGTGTAATCTTTGTTTAGCTAATGACAAAAATAAATTACTATTACCAACATTTTGTTGCAACCATACATCATAAAATCCAAGTGTACAAAATAAGTTTTTTACTAAAGAGCACCAATTTACTTTACTCGGTGCATTTTCTAAATCATTTTTGAGCATATTATATACCAAAGACACATATTTATTTTCTTCTGTATGTACAACTTTGACCCAATATTTTATTATGTTATAATAGTGTATTGTCTTAAAACTAAATCTACCTAGTTCACCGTAAATAAAATCATTTTGTGCGGTCTTTTTCACTCCAAGTACTTTCTTGCAAAACTGTAAATGTACCCTTTCTATTGTCAAATTTTTAGCAAAACCACACACTTCACTTCCATAATTTAGAATAGGAGCTACTAATTTATCAAATAAATCAAATTTATGCTTAGGAGTTATATATGTGAATTTATACAAATATTTGTTTAACTTAAAAATAGCTTTTTGAGCTTGTCCAGCTAGTGTACTTTGTGCTGTAGATAAAGATCCACCACTTGTAAAAACAATACCTAAATAAGTAAACTTACTAACTATTTCAATTTCTTCATCGTCGCAATAAAATTTAAGATTTCTAGGAATGGTTCCACCTCGTCTAAATATCATTACTTTTGTTTTTGTTGTGTTTACTTTCATTTTCCAAGTTTTACAATAATCTGCTAATAAATTTATATTCTGTTGCAATTCTTCTGCAGAGTTACCAAAAATTACAATGTCATCTGCATATAGTAATATATATATTTTAAACATGCAAACATCTATTCCCTGTGATCCACTGTGGATGTAAATATCTTCTAAGTCATTGATACAAAGTGAAAAGAGGAAGGGAGATAAGCATTCCCCTTGTCTAACGCCAAGCATGCATGGGAAATCACTACTTAATTTATTCATATATTTTACTCTTGACTTAACTGATTGATACATAGACTTCATGATATTTAAAATATTTCCTCTAAGACCTAATTTTATTAATTTGTACCACAAATTCTCTCTAACCACATAATCAAAAGCTTTAGAAAAATCGACAAATAAAGCAAACAATTGTTTTCCTTGATTTAAAACATGATTAATTAGACTATTTAACACAAAAACATTATCTACTGTACTCATTTTTGACCGGAACCCAGCCTGAGCTTCAACATATACATTATAATTTTCAGCCCAATTCTTTAATCTATTGTTAAGTACATGCGTAAAAAGTTTACCCAGACAGCTCAATAGTGTAATGCCACGGTAATTATCTACAATATTAGCATTACCTTTTTTATATAAAGGGATAATATAGCCCTCTGACCAAGTCTCAGGAAAATATCCGATATCAAATATTCTATTAAAAAGCTTATGTAATACAGGCACTAATACAGTTTTACCGTTCGTAAAAAATTCATTTAATAAATAATCTGGACCACTAGACTTATTATTCTTTAACTGTTTTATAGCATGATTTATTTCATCATATGAAAAATTGTTGTTTAATTCCTCAAACATAACATTAAACTCATTATTCTCATAACGTTCTATAAAATGTATGACATCCTCATCTGGAACAAAAAATCTACTGTCAGGATTATTTATTGCCTTAAAATACATTTCAAAGGATGACAAAGATAAATTTGTAGTTTTAACACATGCAGTTTCTTTCAGCATGTTCCAATAAAGGCGTGCATTTTCAAACCTGGCATTAACAAGTTTAGATGTTTTTTTCTTTATCATAATTGAAACGACATTTTCTAACAGTACTCGAATATATTGACCGTGCTTGTACCATATTTGTTCTATTCAAATCACACGGGTCATTTCTATATCTATTCAGTAAGTTTAAAAATACATTTTTCTTTTCAACACATTCATTATCATACAACGGGCTATTATTTATATAACTAGGAATGCTTTCACAACCTTTCATAACAGTTTTTTTTAAATAATGGCGATGCAACTTTATCAATAA